GGTTGGGGGGTGGGGGGAGTTTTGCCCCTTCCTTGGCGCAGCGTGGGGGGGGCCATTTCGTTGCCTGGAATGTTGAGATGCCCTGGGACCCAGTGTATGCGTATTTTACCAGGGGGAATATGTGAGAGCCTCGGTCTAGCGGCCCAGGCCTGTTTGAGCTTCAGGAAATCTTCGAAGACCGCCTGAGACGAGCCATTGAAGTGGGAGCCTAATCTTAGGGCTACTTCGTAGTTATCCAAGAAGATCCATAGGTCTGTAGCAAGTTTGATTGATGGAAGCGCTAGGGCCTTTGCTGCCCCCGTTACTGCAGCCATAGCTTCCGCGTCGAATACCTCTGCATTTGTGCCAAGTGAGAAGGAGTATTGGGCCACTTGGATATCAAATTGTGTGATTACAAAGCCACCTCCGGTGGCGCCGTCCTTGCTTTCGCTTTTTGAACCATCCGAGAAGATCTGTATATCACTCCTTGGGATCTTAGGATGGAAGGCCTTGAAGTCGTCAGCTGCTTGGGCCTTTGTTCTGCCCATCGGGCCAGCTACACGTATCTCGGCTTCTGCTCTCGATTCCTTGTGTTCCCATGAAGGGAAAGCTAATGGATTTATATATTCGGCTTTTGGTAATGCTGTGATGAAACTTGAAAGTCTTGTATCTACAGTTCGGTTCTGGTCTTTGGCTTTGATCATGCTCTTCGCTCTAATTCTGAGGGGGTGGTAAGGGTTTAGTCTGAAGGTTCGCACAGCATATGTTTGTGAGGCTAAGTTTAGCTCGATTTCGGAGGGCCTGAGTTTGGCTTCCTCGTATAGCACCGCTGTGTTCGTGGTTTTGTATACCGGTAGAATTGCTTTTGCACAAGTGAGGATCACTTTGTTGAGTAGATTTATATGGCTGTCCACTACATTTGAAATTGACTCGTTCGAGGCATTCTTCTTTAATCTGGTTCGGCCTGGCCACCATGTTTCCGAAGCAAAGTAGCATTTCTTTAGTACACAGGCTACAGCCACTCTTCTGGTGGAGTAGGAGGGTATCCCTCGGCATGTGTTATTGAAGGATCTTAGTGCATTAGCTCCTTTGAGGGCTTTTGCTGTAAGAATCTGTATATGTGGCTTGAAGTTTAGTCTTCTGTCGAAATAGACTCCAAGCCATCTGAGCGGACCAGGTTTCACCTCGATGTTCAGGGAGCCAGTGTGTACTGAGGGAGCTTCAGTTAGTGTGCGATGTCCCTTGTAGAAATGTATTAGCTCAGATTTTTTTGGGGTCAAAGGTGATGCCCTTCGGTTTTTCCCCATTCGAGAGCTTCTTGCATATTTGCTTGAAGAGTATCACAGTTCTTTTGGAGGCTATCGGATGTTGCTAGTAGCGCAATATCGTCAGCGTACCCGAATCTCTTCCGTGGATTGCCCATCCAGAAAAGGGGCGCAATATAGAGCATAAACAGGATCGGGGAGATTGGAGAGCCTTGGGGAAGGCCGCATTCTAGCTTTGTTTTTGGGCCGATCTCGCCGTCCAGTCGGATCTTGATGTAACGATTGGTGGCAAAGGACTGTACCCATTTAACCAATTTGTTTGACCATCCTTGTTCCCGAAGGCGGTTCACTAGTCGTCCTGGTAATACTGCGTCAAAAGCTCCCTTCACGTCCATTGTGAGAAGTGTAGTTTTTAACCCTTGTTTCAAAGATGCTTCGATATCATGTGTGACACAAGATGTGAGGTCTACTGAGGATCGCAGTGGTAGAGCTCCGAACTGTTGATTTGCTAGGACTTTGTAGTTTAGGGCAAGCCATGATATTTTCTTCGCAATGAGTCTTTCAAGGCCTTTGCCTAGAACTGAAAGTAGAGCAATCGGGCGGTATGATCTTGGGTTGGTATAGTCGGGCTTATTGGGCTTAGGGATGATTGCGATTGTGGCTATCCGGAAACATTCTGGGTGATGTCCTAGGTTTAAACACCCTTTGAAGAGGGAGAGGGTTATATCCCTGATTAGTGGCCATGCGATTTGTAGGATTCTCGTCGGGATTTCATCTGCACCGGGTGCTGTGTTCCCGGTCTTTAGAATAGCTAGTTCTATGTCTTGTAGATCGATATCGGGGAAGATGATAGAACGACTTGGGATCGCTGGGATATCGAAAGGAATATCGTCGACTTCGGCCGAGTTTGTTAGTAGATTGCTGGCGAATGCTTCTCTTTTCTCTTCGATGCTGTTTGCAATGGTCAAATTTGAGGGGTCTGCTAGAGGCGGGGTTCGGTATATGCCTGTAGTCTGGTGCCATTTGGCTATTCGAAATACATCGTTTATGTTCTCTACTTTGTCGATTTTCGAGATATAGAAGGCACGTTTTGCTTTCCGGACTGTTCTCCGGAGAGAGCGCTTGGATACAGGAGTTTTAGCAGTCCTGTGTTCGTGTACAGCCTTTGTACAGTCCTCGTTCCACCAGGGTTGTTGAAGGGGGCCGTTTGTAGATCTTTTTGCAGAGCCTGTGTAGGCCTTTATGAGAGCTTGTGTGAGAGATGATGCTAATCGATCTAGCTCATTGGTGTAGAGTGCTTCGGTGCTGGTATCGATATTGGTTAGGTTTATTCCTAGTAGGTCTGTAAAGAGTTTTTCGTCCAATGTGTCCAATCTAAGTTTTTGGATGGCCTTCGAACTTTGGCAGTTCCAGTGAAGTAAGGTTTTTAACGTGTTATGGTCTGAAGTGCAATCTAGGTGTTCAGCTAAAGAGGTGTATGCTATATAGGGTCCTGATAGAAAAGTAAGGTCTAAGGTGTTTCCTTTTGTATGAGTAGGAATTCCGATTGGAGAGATAAGGTGTAGATTTCGAGAGTTGGACCATTCTACGAAGGGCTCAGCTAGCGTTGAGGGGGTGGGATGTAAAGGATTCCAGTTAGGGTGATGGAGATTGAAATCGCCTAGTAGGATAACGTTTGATGGGAAGTTCTGCAATTCAAAGAGAGAAGTGATAGCTTGGTTACCGTCTGAACATTGGGGCGGGGCATTGTATATGTTTATGATTGTAAATGCCGAGTTGTTTGTGGAGAGTAATTGTATGAAAATTAGGTCTCGTGAGATTGTGGGTCTGATTTGGTTGATTCGTATTCCGATTCCTTTTCTGACATAGGTTAGAACGCGAGGAGTGATTTTCCAATCGTCTAATGGGGTAAAGATTTCATATGAGGGATGTGTTTTGGTAATTTTCCTTGATATATCCTTATAGATATATGGCTCTTGGATCAGGATGATATCGATCTGGTCTGAGTTTGCTAGATTGAGAGCGAGATCGTGAGAGATCCCCTCTAGGCTCTCGAGGTGGTTTATAACTAGGCGTCAAGCAGGGACTTAAGTAATGACAATAATGAAATGCAATTCGTAACTAATAGTAGGATATACTAAATGATTGATCTTGAGCACGAAGCTCTATACAAAGGAAATCCATCTTGATTATATAGTCCTTCATGCTTCCATGATTACTAGTGATCCTTCATGATCATTAGTGATCATCTATATCGTGATCCTTAGTGATCCTTAATGATCACCAGTGATCACCTATACCGTGATCCTTAGTGATCCTTAATGATCATCAGTGATCACCTATACCATGATCCTTAGTGATCCTTAATGATCACTATTGATCATTTGTGATCACGTGTCTTGGTAGTTGTGTAGCCCGTCGTAACATGACCTTACACAGGGAATAGTGGGAAGCTGATAGGGCAGAACTGAGGCTATATTGGTCTCGTATATAAATCACTTATTATTTAAGTTCTACGGAAGTACGAAGCTCTCCTTGTTACGAAGGTATCAGTCAACCTGTCCGTATAAGCTTCGACCCTAATGGAAAAGCAAGGAAATTTACATACAAAATTATGACAACTTCCCCTTAGCAAGCTTGGACATATAGTCTGATCCAAGTCACGTGATGGACCCTGCATATTCAGGGATACAAATCGTAGGTCCATACGAATCGAAGGTCCATAAACTCTCAGGATCCAAGAGATCCAATGAAGGACGAAGGTCTATATAATCAGGATGGTTTCCTTTGTATAGAGCTTCGTGCTCAAGATCAATCATTTAGTATACTCTACTATTAGTTACGAATTGCATATCATTATTTGTCATTACCTTAAGTCCCTGCTTGACGCCTAGTTATAAACCACCTCGAGAGCCTAGAGCACTTCCACGTGATCTAGACGGCAAACCTCGTAACATAAATATTAAAGATCTGAAATTTTCAGAATTTATTAATAATTATATAATTAATCAATAATTTAAATTTAAATTTTATTGAATTATATTTGTAAATAAGAAAATTATAAAGATCGATTTTTATTGTTTTTGGTGTAAAAAGGTGGCCGAGATTTAGGGGGGCCAAGAAACGGGGTACTAGACTTAGAAACTAGATTCAGTTTAATAAATCATTGCCTAATCACATATTAAACCAGACAATTGAAATATTGCGTCAAATAGTCCTAATTACAGACTAACAATAAGAAATTTTTAAATTGCTGGATTTTTCCCCATGCCAGAAGTAATTGAAGGATTAAAATATTATAAAAGATCAAAATAGTTTTGAATAATGGATTCAGGAAATTAATCACGTTGTTCTTGGAGCTTTACAGTCCATTCGGACATCAGAAGTTTTGAAGACATTGAAGAGTTCGAATCTGGTCTTTTAGTCCGAAATATTGAACCGGAAGTTGGGCCGTACAAAATTTAGAAGTATAATAATCTGAAAAAGAATACAGTAGCTCAAATTCAGCAACCAGGCTGTATTGTATACAATCCAACCGTATGGTTTATTTGTTTTCCCAACCGTACCGATATGAATGATTTTGAATGTCTATTTAATCCTTCCAATGTCTTGTCGAAACATATTCCTTACAACTACATCCATCTTCATCGTCGAGCACATCAACAGACTTTCCGAATTTCCCAACTCTACCTTTTCTAAAAAAACAAAAAAACAAAAAAAAACACATTATCAACGAGATTCCTTCCCCAACCATCAAAATGACCACCAACGCACCCGTACTCAACCCCCCAGACTCAAATGACTCCCTCAACGAACTCCTAGGCCAAAGCGCCTCCGCGCAAGTTAGTCTTCCAGCCATCGTCTCAGCAATCCAAGAGCTAGCCGCAAGCATGGATCCTGAATCCATAGCCGAAATCGCAGAACACATAGAACTTCACTATCGAACATTTAGTAGACAGCGTTTGCTTCATAGTATATTGAGACTTTCTCGGGTTTTACGGACGCAACCTTGGGATGCGCCTGAGCAGCCTAGTGGGAGTGGGAGGTTTTTGATGAAGAGGGAGGGATTTTTTGATATGTAAGATTCTGTGTTCTTTTTTTTTTTCTTTTTTGATGATTTCTGAAATGGTGAGATAGTTGGAAAGTTGCTAATAAAGATTTAGTTATAATCAAGAAGGTAACAATAAAATCGTCACTATCAACGTAGGAAGCGAAAACCAACAAGTTAAATTCACCGCAACAACTGGCATCCTATCAGCCCAAGCATCATTCTTCAAGCCTCTTTGTGGGGATCGCTGGAAATGTGGTCGTGAAAGTACCATGACGCTTTCCGAGCACTCAGCCGAGAGTTTCGAAATCTTGCTCTCCTGGCTCTACACTAAGGACATTAAAAACGCCTCATGTCTCATCAAAATCCATCCCATCAAGAGAGAAATCTCCAATATATTTTTCCGCAAACAATCGCATAAATCACGCTGGTTTCAACTTCTCAATTGTTATTTCCTAGCTGATTATATCTGCGCACCTAAATTTTCAAATTATATCATCGATGCGCTAGTTTTCGCTTATAAAGAATGGAGTGAAGCGGATTTTGGGAAGATTGTACGAGAACCGATTTTTGATGATGTGGAAAAAACGAGGGAATTGGTGGAGATTAATACGCCGGAAAACTCACCTTTGAGGAGCTTAATTGAGGATATTGTGATGCCTAGGATGGAGTTAAAGAAGGCTTTGACAGTGGATGAGAAATCTTCGAGGATGCCGTTTAGGATTAGGAGGGGAAGAGTAGTACTTTCTGATGATTCGATTCCGAAAAGATTGCTGCAGAATGGTCAGCCTTATAATGGTGGGACTGCGATTAGTTCGATTATTCAACCTGGTCATTCGAGTTTGGGTCAGCCTATTCTAAATCATTTGCCTTTTGATCCATCTCAGTTTCATCAACCTCAACCCCAATCAACCTTCTGGGAACCTATAAACAATCATCACCATGGTTTTTTCCTTCAACAGGAACCTCAACCCCAACCTCAGGTATCCCAATCGACCTTCTGGGAACCTCCAGACCTCCATCACAATCATCACAACACATTCCCAACCCAATCCCAATCCCAATCCGCTCAACCCCTCCAACCTCTCCAAACCTCCCAGCCCCGTCCCCACCGCCTCTCCCGCTTCATAAAGGGCATCACCCGACGAACCGGAAACGATAGAGATAAAGACAACTACTACTCCAACTCCAAGGAAACCCAAGCCGGATTTCACAAATCGGGAAAAGTGATCAAGGTTTGGGAGGAGGAGAGATGTAGATATCATGTTCATGAGCCGGGGAGGGATTGTAGGGATGAGGTTTAGATAGTAGATAGTGATCTGGGGAGAGGGGAGGGGTGGAGAGTTGGTGTGATTTTGAGGGTTTAGGGTTTGTGGGTGGGGGAGTTTGTAAGGCCTTTTGAGGGATTAGTGGGATTGCGGGATCGTGGGGGAAAAGTATTAGATTATTAAATAGATAAATTATTATGATTTGTTGTTTTGCGAACTTTATAAATTAGTAGTTAATTCTTTGATTATTTCATACAATGATATACCTTGTTCATTTTCCATAGAGTGTATAATGCAACTGAAAAATATAAAATATTTCACATTTACTTCCGGAGTCGAATAATCTAACATTACAATTGCAGAAGAGAAGTTTTATGAAATTATATGGTAGGAAAAATGCAATGGTGTATTTTTTGTACGGAAACATTCTAAGGCCGTCATCTTGTTGTTCTTATACATATACTCCGTACCCAGTCATGTATTATTGTCAGCCATTTCTTCATCCATCTTTTTGCATCTCGTCTCATCATCATCATATTCATTATAATCATAACCATTGTAATTTCCGGCATCAATTCCAATCCAATTCCGTAAGAAAAAAACATCAAAAGCATAACATCATAAAACCATCCGCGCAATGCACGCATATAGATTCATAGGTATGATATATCATCCCCTATGATAATCTGATTTTCACAATACACACGCCCATCAAGTGAAACTCGTCCCACCAGTCCCTTGCCCAAAGTTACTAACCGCAAGTCCATTACTTAATCTTCTTCCTCCTCCAGGTCCGACACTTCCACCTAGCATTCCAATAGGACTACTCATATTCTCCTCCAATCTACTTTCTCTTCTCTTACTCGCTGAGATAGTAATAGATTTCGAGAGTGGTGCACCCTCCACAACATCTAATGCTTCTTCATTAGGATCTCGCCTAATTCTTTCATCACCTGCTAGTAATCCCGTTTCTTCATCGTTGGCCGGAAGTAACGATTCTACTTCTGCTTCATCGTCGCTTGTGCCGCTTTTATTAAATCCTTCCATTTCTTCTAGATACCAAATAGGTATTGCACCGATAGCTGCAATTGTGCCAAGTAAAAAGTAAGGAGTGATGACGTATCCTTCTTTTAATCCCCATGTAAAAGCTGCTCCTGACATAGCAGGTCCAATAGCTCTACCGACTGCCGAGATGGAAACTGCGAAGCCGTTCAATGTACCCAGGATACGGAGACTAACTGCAGAATTGGTGAGGAGGATGATGCAACATGGGAAGGCGAAGATGACCGCGAATGATTTGACAATTAGGATGGCGAAAATCATGATTTGTTGCCAGGTCGATGACTCGATGAGAGCGGTATAGGGAGTGACGAAACAGATGATGGGAAATGTTACGGCGCATACTTTGAAGCAATTTAGAACCCCAAATTTGCGAGCCGCGGGTGGAAAGATTACAAATTGGATGAAGCCACCGACGACACCGTACAGAGTGAAAATTGTGCCGATCCTACCAGAATGAAGTCCAAAACCACCAGAGAATTTGAAAGGAAGTTGTGTGTTTGTTGAATCGTGGATTTGACGAGGATGATGCATGAAAACTGAGAGAATTTGATCATAGGAGACGGAATGAAGAGCGAGGAATGTATATGCAACAAGGTTAATGACTGATTGACGTGTGAATACTTCCCGAAGACTTGGAGGGGGGACTGAAGGTTTTGATTTCGGGGATTCGAAGTTATCATCAAAGGTTTCAGTAGAATCCGACTCAGAAGCAGATGTAGGTCTAAGAAGTGATGCTGATGATTCATCGTAGGCTGGATGACCAGGGGAGTGGTGCTTAGTTCGAGCTTGACAGCAGAGCACTTTGGAAGAGCTAATCACTTTCTTCCCCATTTCTAGGCCCCAATCTCTCTTATTACGTTTTGATTCCAGAGTTTCCTAAATATGTTAGCGAAATGTAGGATATCGATTGATTGAACATACCCTAAGGAACAAAATTCCAGTTGTAATTCCAATCATAAAAAGGAAACTAGCAATAATATTTGGTAATGCAAAAGGGAAATTCAAGAAATATCTGTTGTTGCCGAAAAGGTTTGGAAAGTTCTGTGCCGGTCGAGCAAAGAACCCTCCGAACGATGGACCAAAGATAGAGCCAAGACTCCATACTAAAGGCATGATAGAAAAAGCTCTTGGTTGTAGTTCCTTCTGAGGAACCATTTCTGCTACCATTGTTCGGATAATCCCCACTAGCTACTGTTAGTTTTTACCTGAAGTTTATATTCACCACCGAAACATACCATTTCCATTAAAAGCTCCTTGAAGTGCTCTAGCAATGATAGCCATAGGTAAAGTCACTGACATGCCCCATACGATATTTAGTACCATTGTGCATGTCAAACCCGTCAAAATTGTAGGTTTCCGACCAAATATATCGGAAGCTCTTCCCCACAAGATGGCTGTGATGCATTGAGATAATGAAAACACGGCAGATGTGATACCTGCCCATTTTGCTACATCTTTCTCCTCTACCCCAAAACTTTCGATCATCTCAGGCTGTCGAAGGTTAGTCACATGATGTCAGACAAAGATTTCAGAGATTTAAGAGACTTACTAGATATGGAAAGACTGAAGTCAAGGCAACGGGTTCTGCAAATCTACATATTGCTAAAAGAAATTAGTATCAAGAAAAGGAACGAATGAACTCGTGATATTTCGAGTCTAATGTTGCCATTTGCATTGCCGAATGAACGATCTACAGAATGGTGATGGTGGAAGTGGAAGAATACATCCGGCTGAGCAGGCGCGACCTGGAAAGAATCACAGCCAAATTCAAATTCCCATAAAATCCACCAAATCCTCCAGATGCTCCAAATGTATTCCAATCACATTCGCATGAAGGAGGGACAGGTAGCGTGGGTAGAGATGAATGGGTATTCATTTTAATTCTTCTCAAAATGGACGTAAAACTATGTAAATGATTTGGATGATCTTCACTAAGAGAGGAACTTTCTTTCGGGTTGTGTCGTTACACTATAGGCGGGGTATTTTGCAGTTGCATCAACCGGGCCTCCCGAAATAAGTAACCATTTCCCTCATCTTATCACAACGAAGAAACTTTCAACGATTTGAAGATCTGCTGGACGTCTGTAAACATAACAAGTTAAACAGAAGGCTTACCAAGAATTGTGAGTTGGGCCACAGGTAATTTCGCTGGACCATATTTCTTTCCCTTAACCATATTGATGGCGGTAAGAAAACCTTCTCAGCCTCCCAAAATTGAAAATCGGAACTACGATCTCTTTCCGAAGCAAGCATGGAAAACCACAATACGGTGGAAGTGAGGATATAAAGAGTGAGAGGGAGATTGAGAGGTAGATTGAATCAAAAGAATATGCGAGGTAGTAGGAAGGGGGAGGTAGTAGGAAAGAGGAAGTAGTAAGAGGTGGAAAGTAGGTATATAAACAATATTTGTAAGAAAAGGCAGAAGTTCTGCTTCGCTTTGAGTGAGTGAAGGGAAAAAGTATCGTCAAATCAGGTGGGGCAAATGATCTATTAATCGCTGCAGCTTCACCGATCTGTCAAGTGGCGCTTTTCCGTTTCCCGTTGAGTTTTCTGTACTAAATCTCCATATTGAACGGATTTAATGCGTTTTTAATAAATATCCCATGTTCATATGGATACAGATATAGACAAATGTATGAAACGGGGTAAATTTAACAAATACTCATTGGTCAATGGGGAAATGGCAAAGAAATGTTTCATTTGATTGGATTAAAATTCAAGCATTCCAGGCCGATTATCGCTTGGTTGTAGTCACGTGAGGAATGTAGTTTCACCCCCATCTTTTGTCCCACAAGCGGTTGAGTCAGATTACCTAATTAAGCTTGGTGGCGACAAGAAGGTGTGGCTGATTTGTCAGCGTTCCTTACGCCATGGCGCTCATCACTTGAACCAAACTCCTGATGCATGCAAATCCATACTTTTTACCGCACATATATATTACTTGAAAAGGTAAGAAGTGTATCAATGTACAAATGTAGGTGATTCTTGCATACCACATTGTTGCCTTACTGGAATGCGTGAATATATGTTCCTTTTAAACAATACTTTCAATGTCCCACTTTATCGATAACACTCAAACAATGAGATCAAGCTGCATCCTTCCCTTCCCTTCCCGTCTGATAGGTTTATCTTCGGATGCAGCTTTCTCCGCTTTTAATGCTTATCAGCTCCGTTTCACAAGCTTTCATCACATATCAGGAAGCTCTTGAATTAGCCTACAGCAAGTGAATATAGCCTCCGCATATGGTATAGATGTGCATGAGCTTTATGGTCATTGAATAACGCAATAGGACCTTACATTAACGTCAGCATAACCCCATCAACTTTAAGATCTTGATGATTCTTTCTTTGCCTTTTGCACTACCTCTAACCCTCACTAACCTTCATCATGGGCAGACTCATAGATGAAAAGGCCATGGAGAGCAATGAACGTACTCCATTATTCGCGACGGTCATTGCTGCTTCACCGCGACAAAGATATCAACACAATACCATTCGTCGATTCTTTACCATCGCCGCAACTTCTTGTTTAATCGTCGCCGTTTACCTATTCTTACTACCCCTTTCCTTCATTCCTCGACATCATAGCCATTGGCACCACGATAAACCTTATCAAGAGCCATCTGCTTCCATTACATACGAAGAACTTCAACAAATATTACTCGACACTCCAAAGGCAGAAAAGGCAAGAGAATGGAGTAAATATTATACATCTGGACCACATGTTGCTGGAACAAATAAAAGTCAGGTTCTTTGGACCCAGGAAAGATGGCAGGAATTTGGCATTGAATCTGAAGTCATTTCCTATGATGTTTATCTCAATTATCCTCGTGGTCATCGACTTGCTTTATACGAAAAGAAAAACGCGAAGGGTTCTGATGTTCAGGAATTGAAAGTCAAATTTGAAGCTAGTTTGGAGGAAGATGTACTTGAAGAGGACGATACCAGTGGATTGGACAGCAGAATTCCAACCTTCCACGGATATTCCGCATATGGAAATGTCACCGCACCATACGTTTACGTCAATTATGGTACCTACGGAGACTTTGAAGATTTAATAAGGCTCAATGTCAGTTTGGAAGGTAAGATCGCCATTGCAAGATATGGCGGCATCTTCCGCGGTCTCAAGATCAAACGCGCACAGGAACTGGGAATGGTCGGGGCTGTTCTTTTCACTGATCCTGGTGATGATGGAGCGAATACTGAAGAGAATGGAGTTACCACGTACCCGGAAGGACCAGCCAGAAATCCAAGTAGTGTCCAAAGAGGAAGTGCTCAATTCCTTAGTGTTGCACCTGGAGATCCGTAGGTCATATTTTCATGTAACATGTAACAGCAACCTAACCATCTCGTAGAACCACCATAGGATATCCTTCAAAACCTGGAGCTCCACGTCAACCTGTTGATGGTAAAATTCCCTCCATTCCTTCTCTTCCAATATCCTATGTCGATGCTTTACCCATTCTTAAGGCTTTAAATGGCATCGGACCTGGACCCCAAGATTTAAACAAATGGTGGGATCGAAACCTTGGCCTGGCATACAAAGGAGTAGAATACAACATTGGTCCCTCACCAGACAATCTCGTACTTAATCTCGTCAACGATGTCGAATATGTCACCACACCTATTTGGAATCTAATTGGTATAATTAATGGAACCTTACCAGATGAGGTCATCGTTATTGGAAACCATCATGATGCTTGGATTGTAGGTGGTGCTGGTGATCCAAATAGTGGTTCCGCAGCTCTCAATGAAGTTGTTCGTAGTTTTGGTGTCGCTGTTTCAAAGGGATGGAAACCATTGCGTACAATCGTATTTGCAAGTTGGGATGGTGAAGAATATGGTTTGGTTGGTTCAACAGAATGGGTCGAGGAATATTTACCATGGTTGAATAAAGCTAATGTGGCTTATATTAACTGTGATGTTGGTACTAGTGGACCTACTTTTGGAGCTTCGGCAAGTCCACTTCACAACAAAGCTTTATACGAAGTCTTAAGCTTAGTTCAATCACCGAATCAAACAGTTCCAGGACAAACTGTCGGTGATGTTTGGGATGGATCTATTCATACTATGGGTAGTGGTAGTGATTTTACAGCTTTTCAAGATTTTGCCGGAGTTCCATCAATTGATCTTGGATTTGGGCCAGATGTTAACCACGAAGCCAATGGTGGAGCTGTCTTTCATTATCACTCTAATTACGATTCATTCTATTGGATGGATACATATGGAGATCCAGGATTTCATTATCATGAAGCGATGTCAAAGATTTGGGCTCTATACACTGCCAAACTGGCCGAAACTCCAATTATTTCTTTTAATGCTACCGATTATGCCGACGCATTACAAGGTTATATTAGCAAGACCGAGTCGAAATTAGATTCCATTATGATTGGATCTTCATCCGAAGCTGAAGATGAAGAAGCTCGATTCCGTCCAAGTAACATCGAAACAAAGGGCGACATCAACAACTTGAAACTTTCCTTCAAAGACCTTCACCATCGTGCTACTGCTCTTAAACATGCAGCAATTCGTCACGATTCTTCCGCTGAAATCCTTGCCAAACAAGCAGGTCAAGATATTCCATGGTGGAAATGGGTATCTAAAGTCAAACTTTACTACAAGATTCGAACAGTCAACGAGAAATATAAATATCTAGAGAGAAAGTTCTTATATCCGGAGGGACTAGATGGTAGATCATGGTTTAAACATGTGGTTTATGCACCAGGACTCTGGACTGGTTATGCAGGAGCTGTTTTCCCAGGTTTGGTAGAAAGTATTGATGCACAAGATTATGAGAATGCTGAGAAGTGGATTAGAATTATTTCGGAGTGTTTGGAAAATGCGGCTGAGTGGTTAGCGTGAGGGTTAGGGAATGATTTCTACGGGGTGGTAACGTGAAATAGTAGAGAGAGATACACACAGACAGATGGTGAAAGGACTAGAGAGATACAGGATTACATGATACATACATGGCGGTTTAGTGAAATATACATTAGAGGCAGAAGAATTTCGGTACACAGAGCGCTAGAGGATGTAGGTTTTCTTTTCTTTTTCTTTTCATGCCGTCTTGAGTATTGGATAGATATATAATATATATCTAAACAGTCATTCAATTCATTCAGTCCATTCAAAGATTTTCCGTACCCTTTCTTCGTACCCATTTCTCTTCTGTTCTCTTCTCCTTATCCTCCACCTTTTAATCCTTACCCTCATCCACCAGAAACATAAAAATGAAGATGAAGATGAAGATGAAGATGAAATAAAACACCGTAATCTCATCGATGTTAAATAGCCAAAATTGCTAAAATATACATGTCTATAAGGTTAATGGTATCGTGATTTGGTATCGTGATCTATCATGATGTGTGTGTCGGTTTGTTATTTATGTGTTGGGTGTTACACGGCATATGTGTATAGTGTGTGTGTGAAGGAGGGGGGCGGGGGTTGGGGCATGATGTGGGTGTGATGCAGAGGCTGTGTATAGAGTGTTGGGTTGGTGTATATATATGGATGGGTATGTGATACAAGTGATGGTTTGAAGTGGTGTAACATTGAAGTTTGGTAAGTATATGAGTGTCAGTTAATACTACGATACAGTACTGAACGGAACGGGGAAATATTTAAGCGATGGCTGAGAGATGAGGTGTTGTGATGAGGCTGCTATCTCACCATTTGTATTGATGGATGCTATCAAAGGGGGAGATTGGATATTTTGTGATGGGTAATTATTCGATTGAGTTGAGGAGGTTTGAGGATGTCGATGGATACTGGTGGTTTCGGGTCTGGGAAAGTGGGGTATGGGATTTGTTATACTGTGTTTGGGGTCTAGGTTTTAGGGTTTTGAATATAGGATTTTGTTACGACAGGTAACAATTAGGTCACGGGATTAGTAATAACACGTGATGCAAGAGCTCGAAGGCTTAAAGTCTTCAAAGATCTTTTAAAATTATAAAATGATCGACCTATCAAGTAGTCGACTATTGATAGATTAATTTATAATAATTTTAAAAAAAATTAAATTAAAATAAAGTTTTAGATAAATTTATTTTATTTTATAATTCTATTTTGGAAACTATATAATGTTACGACGGCTTCTGGCCTCGTATCATATGACCATGTACGAAGTCATGTGATCCCTTCGATCCCTTTACCGAAGGGATCGAAGGGATCTGTTACGACGGCTATCTTCTACGCCGCGTCACATGACTAAACCAAGGTAACGTGATTAAGTCACGTTATGGACCGCTGAGGAACGCTGGCTGTCCAGGACCGCGCAGCGGTCCTGACTAGCCATAGGCATGAAGGTCTATATAATCAAGATGGATTTCCTTTGTATAGAGCTTCGTGCTCAAGATCAATCATTTAGTATACTCTACTATTAGTTACGGATTACATTATTGTCATTACTTTAAGTCCCTGCTTGACACCTAGTTATAAACCGCCTCGAGAGCCTAGAGCACTTCCACATGATCTAGACGGCAAACCTCGTAACATATAACGTGGTTTATCAGCGAGTCGCCACTTTTTCAATATCTTTTATCATTCAATTTCAAGACACAATATTTCAACAAATTATTATGGAAATACAATCAAAAGAGGCCAGAATAATCTTAGCTATTGAAGCTATTCAAAAATCAAAAAATCTTACAGTTGGAAAGGCTGCGAAAATCTACAAAGTCCCTCGAACTACATTACGAGATAGAATGGGCGGTCGAATTCACAGAATGGAAACTCGAGCAAATAATCTTAATTTGATTGAAAAAGAAGAAGAGATGCTTATTCAATATATTATCGATATAGATGAAAGAGGATTTGCATCTAAATTAAATGGTGTAGAAGATATAACGAATTATATTCTCGAATCAAGAGATACGAAGAGAATTGGAAAGTTCTAAGTTCATCGATTTATAAAGCATTATATAAAATTAAAGATATATTTTAATTGTATTTATGATTTTCAAAAAGCTTTTTGCGAAGATCCCAAACTTATTGAAGAATGATTTGGATTAGTATTGGATATATAGACGAAATATAGTATTCAAGATTGTGATTTCTATAACTTCGACAAAACTGACTTTATGATAAGTATAATAATATGCTTTGGAATAATTATAATTAGTTCTAAATGAAATAGTAGAAGTAAGGCAATACAATCAGACAATCGAGAATGGGCTATAGCAATTATATGTAATAATAAAAAGTGTGAAACTATATGTTGGGTTACTTGAGACTAGAAAGAGCATCAGATTGAATTGATTTTCTAGCTGAGCAGTTAAGCTGCGAGTATATATTGAAAAAAAATGAAGGAATAGGTTAGGTATTCGGCCTTCGGAATTAAAGTGCTTTGAAATCAAAATATTGAAAGCAAACAAACAGTATACCAAAAAGGAAAGAATGAATTAAAAGTTGAGTTTTGTTTGCTCCTTATATGCATATGTACTATATATGCATATGCTGCCAAGATCCCAGGAGGTCAACACTATATCTTCATTTCTGATAGTTCAAGAACAAGTTCATCTTTCCAATTGGTATACCGAAATCGATTTTCCTATGGATTGGGCTATTAAACCTACTTTTAATAGATGGACGAATAATGAAATAGGTTTAGAATGATTAAAACATTTTGATAAATATACTAATCAACAAAGAAAGGGTAAATATCGAATATTAATATTGAATAAGTATAAAAGTCATGAATCAATACCTATTGGGTTTCTTGAGACCAGAAAGAGTATCAGATTGAATTGATTGATTCTCTAGCTAAGCAGTTAAGCTGCGAGTATATATTCAAAAAATGAAGGAATAAGGTTAGGTCTTCAGCCTTCGGAATTAAAGTGCTTTGAAATCAAAATATTGAAAGCAAACAAACAGTATACCAAAAAGGAAAGAATGAATTAAAAGTTGAGTTTTGTTTGCTCCTTATATGCATCATGCAATATATATACATATGCTGTCAAGATCCCAGGAGGTCAACAATACCTTTTCAATTATATTGCAAGTCAAATGATATTATATATGTAAAGTTACTATCGCATTCAAGTTATTCAACTCAATCACTTGATGTTCAATGTTTTAGTGTATTCAAATGTTTATATAGTTGTCAAATTGATGAGTTTATTAAGGTATATATCAATTATATTTCTAAGATTGAATTCTTTATAACTTTCAAAGCTGTATATCAATAATCGATTACAATTCAGAATATAAAAGCTGGCATTCAAGGAACAGGACTAATATTATTTGATCCTCAAACTATACTTTCGAAATTAGATATTCGAATTCGTATATCTATCCCTTTATCGATCCTTTTGGAATCTGCCAACTCTTGGGTCTCTCAAATACCTTACAATCCAATTGAAGCTCTTTTACAATCAACTTTAGTGAAATCTCGAATTGTTTGATATCAATCAAATTCTTTTATATTTATATTTGAAATTATAATTATATTAACTAAGGGTACAAAATGATTAGTTTATGAGAATATACTTTTAAATATAGAGATTCATATACTTCGAAAGGTAAATAAGGTATTAAGCAAATGTTGATATGTTAAAAAAACTCAATTATATCAAGAAGGAATACTTACTGGTTAGGAAGCTATAGATATAATATTACAAGAAGAGATGGATATTCAGATTCGATACAATAAATATCAAAATAAAAGAAATTCTAATAAGGAATTATTTATTAATCGATACTATAGTAAATGTGGAAAGATTGATCATAATTCAAGAACTTATTCTAATAATATAATAGACTTTAGATTATTAGATTCTTAATAGTTTAAATCAATTGATTCAATAATTGTTGATTAAAATGAGTTTAAAGTGGTTGAATAAGTGAAAAAGTGGCGACTCGCTGATAGTGTCGACTCGTTGATAAACCACGTTAAGTGTTTTATTAAATATTATTAATTCTTTTCTTCTTTTATTACTTTATAAACATTTAATAAAAAATTGAATATTCAGTTTTCAATAAAAGATAAAAACAAATAAATTTGAAAAATAACAATTACATAAATCAATACTGTTATTTATAACTACTGGACTAAGTAATGTTCTCCTAGTAGGAAAACTGCCATTCAATTTCATTCTCAAAATCTACCACCTTTAAATAATCAAATCATCCCGTTCCATACAGTAGCTATACCACCCACGTCTAAACATTCGCCGTGACAACATCAATCTCCCCCGTATCCTCAAGAGCATTAACAGCCGCCTCAGCAATCGAAGTAGCATTATCATTCGCCCTCTCACGAGCCCTGATACAAGCAGCCGTCCCACCATATTTATGATCATGATATTTACAACTATTTTCATCCATCCACCTATCATTTTTCCCCCCCTTAGCTTTCGCATACGCAGTTAATAAATTCTGGACAAAGTCTATTGGTACACAAAATTTACCCTCGGTGCTGGGATCAGAACCACCGAGTAGTTCTCCAAAGCCGTCATTCTTTCCGTAGTATTTTGGAAAGCGGATCGAGTAGGATATTATCATATCGACGATCATTCGACGTAATAGTGCACCAGGGTTTGTATCTGCGTATAGTTTGGTGATTTGTAATGGCGTGGCTCCTAAAACGTGACGGGAATCTGGATGAATAATAGCGCGGGGTAGTTGATTTAAAGTTTCTGCTCCGTTTTGAGTTTGATTGAATACATTATCGCCTGTTACCAAACTAACCTCATCTAATCGTTTCATCAATGCTTGATATTCTTCGCTTCCCAGACTCTCAATCGCAAACTGTTCATCTTCGTCTTCTAGTTTCCTACGTCTAGTCTGCCACGAACATTCCTCTCTAATCGCCTCAATCATCGTATCAATAATCTTATTCGCAAACTTGGGTGCGATAAGCAATTGAGAAAGTCTATAACATTCCAATAGTTGATTCCAAAGAATATTATACTGATCAAGTCGCTGATAGACATCTTCGCTAGTGACACCAGCAAATTGTTCCGCATGTTTTAATTCTCCATGAATATTCCAGGATGCAAAGATGGAAAATGCCTCGATTTTTGCGCTGGTACTGCAGGGAAATGAGATATTAGACGTTTGGTGGAATCTTTCCCGAAGAACGCGGATGTAAGTGGGTGTGGTGTCGGGAGTTACAGGGGTCGGAGGAAGGAATATGCTTCGGAAAAAGAGGGAGTTAAGACAGAATATTTTGAGGGGCCAGGTTATTTGGATATGGTTGGAGGGAGGACCGATGGTTACGGTTACGAGGTTTGAGTAATCTTCTCTGGAAAGGGTTAGTGGAATTAAATGAGGTGGTGAAGGGCTTGTTAAACTTACCTTGAGAAGGTGATAGCTTTTTCCTGTGTGTTTTGGGCTATCCAGGGAGTGTTTGTGATAGTGTAAAGTCCAGAATCTGATTGTCTCATTCCTCTTGCTCGATAGATATCTTCTAGAGAAGGCATTGTATTGTATTGTTCTCAGTCTTTGACTTCTTATAGAACAACAAAATCAAAGATCAAGTAGCTATTTGTGTCGTTCAAGGTGATTTGATACCTTTGTGTTGTGAACTTCTGATATTTTGCTTCTGAATGTAGAAAAATAACTCGTTGAAATAATTATGTGAAAAGGATGCAATGAGTTTTTCAGACAGTGGAAATGCTAGATTGTTAAATAGTCTAGTCCTTTATCATGACGGTACAGGTACAGTCGAACCCCAGAACGCCTAGCACTAGCCGTTGAATGTAGATAAAAGCGCGGCGTTTACGGTAGGATAGAATGTGAAGAATTTTGTAGGTTGGGAGATTTAAACCGTAGTAGTCCTTTTCCATACTCGAAAATTTGCTAATGGTTCGCAGTAATTTTACAAGCGTACTAATTGAATACACGGAAAAGTATATTTATAATACTTTCATGTCAACTTTTAGTTTATTAATAGATAATATGTCTCGAAAAGAGTCTGCTCAAATGAAAGTCATTTTAATTAATCGAATAGTATAAATATTTAATAACATTAAAGATAGTATTATCAAATTTTATACTATAATTCTATTTAAAAAAGAAAAGATACTTAGACAATCTTTGTAATCGTTAAAGTGAATGGTTCCTGCGTAGCACGTGCACAGGGCACTAGTCCTATTAGGACTAGATTAAGAAGCTCTCTGTAGGAGAGTGTAACGATACTATACTGGAGGCAGCGGCTGCCTAAGGTTTCGTCTGGTTGGTAGTTGTGGGTTAAGGCTTTATCACTGGTCTTCACTTGAAAGTGAAGTCGTTACTAGATCAAGTAGAATGTAGGTAAACTAATTGATAACTAAGTTGAGCACAAAGCTCCTTAACTACGAGACTAAATGAATGTTTATATACCCTATATCATCTTTTGAGGACCTTTGGGACCCTAAGGTCCAAAAGGTCCTCGAGGTCACGTGGATTAATGAATCGTGACAGAGAGCTTCGCACTTCCGTAGAACTTAGAAGAGTGATTAATATACTAGACCAATATTACCTCAGTTCTGCCCTATCAGCTTCCCACTATTCCCTGTGTAAGGTCATTCCTTTTAACAAATTATAATTTAAATATTTCCAAAAAATTAATTTATTTTTAATAATTCTTATTGAAAAGTTAAAGATTTTCAAGTTTTATAAATTTGTATATAAATTCTATACAAATTGAAAATCATAATTTCAACTATTTATATTTCAATCAATAAAATCACGAAAAATTTGAAATTGTCACACTGAAGAATACTAGGTAAAGTATCTTGTATTAGAAAATACTAAGCTAAGGAGAAAAGAAGAAGGAAAACAAGAGTAGAGAGTTTTCCTGTGATTAAACACAAACGGGGCATGCCACGTGACCCGGAGGTGTGAGGCGTCGCAGAAATTTTCAGGATCTATTAATATCTATATAATAAATTTTTAATTAAAATTTCATCAAATTCTAATTATAGATTATAAAGTTATTAATAATTGAAAATCACGATTTTGAGTGTAAAAGGTAGCCGAAAATTGGGGTACTAGACTTATATTAAAAGAAAATACAAAGAGCGGATTAAAATGATGCGATTTAGAATATGCCCGACTAGACTATCCTGACGGAGATATTAAAAATCACCTGATCGTAGCCTCGAGAGTCAGGCACCCGCTAGACTGAAAGGACTTGTTGTTCTATTATCATTTCACACGGTCCCCTTTTAAAAACAGGAAAATTTAGCGATGACCAGCTAGTAAAGTTTTGATCATATTAGTGTTAGTAACAATCCATTTTACACCTCAGAAACTTCTAGAACATAAGTTGGGGACTTGAAAGGCGCACAACACGAATGTTTGGAAAGCTTGAAAGAAGAGTTTTCTTTTTATTTCGTATTAATGTAAATGAAGGTAGTATTTGACCACAATTATAACCCGAGAAGCTCAGTGATAGTTTGTAAGAATCAAAAATTCTACAAGACCTTTCTTGTGGTGCACAATGGTCTGGAGTAGCAGACCGCATGTAAGTTTCAGCATCTGAACATGAAAGAATGTTCAAGATGAATCCAAGATTTCAAGAACCTTGAATGTTTAAAGAATGGAATTTCCCAATCAGGTTCAAACCGTTCCCGCCGCCAGAATTCGTGCGAGCTCTTCAGCCACAGGTGTTTCTCTCCTCAGAATACATTGGGATTATTTTTGTTCTTTTCTCTCCACAGCCTTCATCCAATCATGGACGGCAATATTCTCCTGTCTTACACAACCAATCAGATACCTTCTTTCCCATCTCCGGTGGACATCCCGCCGACCCCGCCTCGTATGAATTCCTCATAAGGAGCCTCCCATTATGTGTACACTCCTTAAGCTCGAAAGAGTTGTTTTCCTGGTCAAGAAAAGTCTTCCCGAAGCCACCTCGTAGAGCCCATGGTTCTATTAGATTCTGGCTCCAATCCATATGCTGTCCTTTAGGAGCTTCCCACATGCAAAACCCCGACAAACTATCTTTCGACCTGCCTAGAATGACTCCTTGGACGCCCAATTTCTTATCAATATTCTCAATAACCGCTAATGCCAGTGAATCTTGTTTTGCACGGTTTCTAAGGCAAGAATCTTCTCCATGATAGCTGTACTCAATAGGAGTCGAACTGCCAAGGTAATTTTTCGGATTTGGTAATGGAACTATCACCCTTGTAAGATTACGACATGGAACGAGAGAAAGAAAATTTTTGAGGAATGTCCAATCCCCTTGATCGTTTTGACAGGTAATAATGCGGGAGCTCAATTTATTTGGCAAGCTCGTCTCATAGGAAAGACTTACGTCTCGAGTACAACTAGCATTGTGTAGTTCTCTGACAAGATCAGATATGACTGTTTCCGGGGTCGACGCCCAAAAGTCACCATGCTGTTTTTGATTCTGAAGGAGACAGCCACTGTTCTTAAATCAGCTTCATCACTGCTTTATGAAGGAAAAAAATAAGCTTACTATAAAGCCAGGTCCAAACCTAAATGGGGGAAAGGACTTGGTTCTTCTTGATTGACTGACATGAGTCTAGTCATCTCATCAACTAGATGATCTTCACCCAATGCATCATTTTTTAGCCTTGCTTCAAGTTCATAACTGTTCAGCCGCTCAAATATTCGTAAGGCGTGTCTGTAAGATCGTGGCTGCCCTCGAAGTGCTTGCAATAGATCTGGACCTTGACCGGCTGAGCAGAAGGCGCTCCTCCCGCAACAGACAAATACCATTTGCCTGATTTCATACGGCATTCTCTCGAAGATACAGAGCAGGGGCTCGGAATTAAGGAGGGTTTCTTCGGCTTCGCACTCGACAACAGTTTCTGTGGCTTTGGATCTGTATTGAATCATCCAATCATCCGGTCCGCACTCGACAACAGTTCCTGTGGATTCGCATTTGTATTGAATCATCCAATCATCCTGTTCCAGTTCGACATCATTCTTGAGGTTGGATTTTGTGTTCCGTTGGACGATCGTTCGGTCCCAATACGACATTTTTATCATGACGATGGAATTCAAAGGGATCCTGTTTAGCTCTCTTTTCTGAGTAAACATCTTCGTTGGTGTGAATTATAAAATGATCATATGTATGCTTGATTGTATATGTTTTGTACAGAGAAGAAAAAACCTGCGGGGAGTTTTCAATTAATATATGTGTGCGCGCCGTCAAATATACTAATTTTTTTAGATGATAAACAGTCAAAATCTAATACACTATACATGTAGACTTCTTTAAGTGCGAAGTAGTACATGATGAATCAAGTTAACATTCTCTTGATCAATAGATACGGTTCGTACTTGAGTATCCCCAAGATGTTATATGCATCAAAGTCTGAAAATTTTATTGTTTTCAAAACCAGCATTGCAGAAAGGCTGGATATTTATCGATGTGTTATCGTTCTAGTTTTAGCGAGGCCTGAGATACAGAGATAGAGAATACACTTCATCGGACGTATCAGATATCAATGCTGAGTAAGCATGCTGTTGAATTAAACGAAGTGGATTTGCCTCTTGTACCTCGGGTCTTGATTTCTTGTATGGCCATTAACGAAGTGAGAGAGATCGACCCTATGAGAGCATCGGATTAGTAAATTACTCATCACATGCCCGTGTAGAGCTAAAATGGGGATTCAGATCTTGTTACACAGTGGCAAATCCATACTAAATAGAGGAATTCAGCTTGTCAATTGAGCTAGCTATTCTAGTGTGAGGGCTATTTTAGTATAGTTTCGCTTACTGTAAGGCTACTATCACCCATTCAGTATAGCAAAATGACGAATAATGCTGAACTTCAATATCAAAATGATGATTCGATTATATCAGCGGACCTTCAAAAGCGTTGAATTTGAGGATATACTTTTATTATAATACATCATCTGATATCCTAGAATGATTGAAATAATCTAAAAAATTCATCTATCATATAATATTGATATTATTCATTCGAATACCACGTGGTACTGACATTTCATTGATTGATTGATTGATTAAATTAACGTCTACACTGAGTCTATGACTATCTAAGACGGCTAGGAGCTTTGTAGGCTTCTAACAATAGTAAATGGAGGGTGGCTGGCCTTATTCGACCGTAGCTAATACAGGTTGGGGAGATTGAAAGCCTCAATCTTCTAATGTTTGAATGGGGGAAGTGAAAACTAATACTAGGGAACCAAGCCCGCCTTACAGATACTCTCGTATTCAAATAAGAGGAATAACAAATGAAATGTAATGAAATTTGACATTGGGGTGATTGCCCAAATTGACCAAATTGACCAAATTGACCAAATTGACCAAATTGACCAAATTGACCAAATTGACCAAATTGACCAAATTGACCAAAATGACCAAATTGACCAAATTGGCCATAATTGATCAATTCAATCACAATCTTCCGGTCCACCCCCTTCTTCTCCGCCTTCTTCCTCTTCTTCTTCATGCATTCTATTGAGATGCCATGATCTGGTGGCTATTCTCGTCGCCTCGATAAATTCGAGGGTCTTGATGATTCCTGCTTTAGTATGAAGCAGATATTTCATGGTAGGTCGGACTGTGGGGTTATCCTTATTGAGGGTTTTCCTTGCCATTTTATATAAAGGACAACTGAGCAGAAGATGATCAGGAGATTCCTTTCCCCCACATCTACAATTGTCATTAGAGGAGATACCGAATCGTTTCAAATAAGATTTGAAGTATCCATGTCCAATTTTGAGTTGGAACACTGACATTTCATTCGAACAACGTTGATAAGTTTTAGATTCATTCCTTTTCAATTCTTTAGTATACCTTTCTGGGAGATAGCAAGTTCTCTTTTCATAAGAAATTCTCTTAGTAACAAAGAAATTTCATTTCATGCATCCACTTTGTCGTGACTTTGGAAGATGAAATGGAAATAGCCTCATTTTCGAGATTCCACTTCATCATTCCGAATTAGGATTTGACCTTCCCATATTAGGAAAGGCCGTCAAGAGATTACCAGTTTCTTGACAAGCTAAATTTCTTCAATGTTACTATTTACAATTATTACTAGATTTATTTTTAGATTTTGGTGTTAGCTCCTCTCTTCAACCTTTTCAAAATCTACAAGTAATTTATGATTTCCATCAAATAGAAAGTGAATCCTTTCAATTTTATCAAGATGGTTCCTTTACTGTTCGGTGATCATTAATTTATTCGTCAGCGAACAATAAAATTTACTAATCACCGAACAGTAATTTAGATCTCCTGCTTTCATAGAGTGAAAGAGATGAAGGACTGAGAGAGGTAGGATCAACCAATAATCATGTATTATGTGGAATTTCAGTCTTTATCACTTCAAGGTATAAATAATAGGTGAAAAAGGTCTTTTATTTTCTAATCAATATTTGGAAGGATACAGCTCAACAGAGCTAGATCTATATGAAATGGTAGCTTACAGGGCTAAGCCGTTGTGTCATATGAGATCATAGCTATGACGCCTCAAAGATGAGGTGTAGCTGTATCTCCAAATGAAGTAGTGTAGGAAGGTAAAAGTGGTTGGTAGCTGAAGATGGTAGAAAATCTGTAGGCCCGCGTGTCCTCCCCCCTGATATTATTCGAACGTCCGTCCTTCTCTTACATTTGTATAACAGATATGGAAAACCTCTCTGACTTTAACCTCGAGGAAGTAAAAGATCATATCTAGACATTTATTACATATTGAATAAATATAAAAGGAGGAAAAAAGGTAGAGGGAAAACCCTAATCGAAATCCTTATTCTAATTCGATAAAAAAGCAATAATTACCGAAAAAGGATGACGACGAATAAAAGTATAGAAAAGAGAAAGGAGAAAAAGCGATAGACTATAGATTTTATATCTATTTGAAGAGGGTAGTATAGAATTAATAATCTAGTTATTTATAGTCCTTTGAAGTTCCTTTCCTGAAACCCTTGTAAATATCATCTATATATTGATTTTGTCCAAGGTTTTATAATTGATAGAAATATTTAAATTTAATCCTTTTATCTTCAAGAAAATCTTTAAGAAAAAAAAGATTTTCAATTATTAAGTCTGGTACCCTACTTTCCGGCCACCCCTAATTCCGGCTATCCTTTTATACCAAAAAATATAATTTTCAACTATTAATAACTTTGCAATCGTGTGACCAAAAGGGTGTTTATAGACCAGCAATTGTATTTAACTTAGAATCTACAGGTGAAGAGCACCTGTAGATGGGGATAGCTACTCTATATATACACAAATAAATGGCCTAGCCGCAATGGCTAGGCAAAAAGAAGTCATATTTATCCCTCCAATGATCTTACTTTACCGATAACCATTGATACCTAGTACTTGTTCGGATCTGATCCTCAGATCACCTAAATCGTATACTAATCCCGAGTAATCGTATCATGTGTGGACATGGTTAATGTACCTGAGGTTTCTTATATAATAAGGGTGGGAGGAAAGCAGGGATTTCCGTCACATAAAGATTTGAAAATTTATATACAAATTCTATACAAATTGAAAATCATAATTTCAGTTATTTATATTTCAATCAATAAAATTAAGAAAAATCTGAAATTTTCGAGATTTACTAATATCTATATAATAAATCTGTAATTCAAATTTTGATTTATTTAATTTATTAATTATTAAAATATTAATAGATGAAAATCATGATTTTTGATGTAAAAAGGTGGCCGGAATTAGGGGTGGCTGGAAAGTAGGGTATTAGACTTAAAAAGAAAGATTTTGGTAAAAAGGTTTGATCTACTATTTTGATATTTGTTTAATAAGTATATTCATATTCTACGTCTCATATACGGATCAGAAGTCTTTCTAGAAAGAACTAGAAGCTTGTATAGAAGTATCGCGCGAAGTCCTTAGGGTGTCACGCCATCAAAAACATTGTGTTCTATAGTCTTGTATTGAAATTACAGGTTCAAATGCAGATCTTCCTATTCCTCTCTCAGAGCATTTACATCTCATTATTCGCCGTCAAGATTTTAGTTTTCTGAATCATAGTTGTAACTAGTATTTAAGAGCGCCGACAAATCTCCCCACTTAATCCTTTCACAAGATAGACACCCCACTAAAGGTGGGTAGCTCTACCCTCTTCTCCTCTACCTCTTAGTTTCCTCACCTTAAGCCCGCCTCGGTGATTTCTTCTCTTTGATTTTCCACCATTGGAGCTCTCGGTTCCTTCGCTGGATTCGTCGTCCTCCGATGCAGTCTCCTTAGATGCGTCCCTCAATTTCTGAGACCTAATCTCCTGAGCCTCCTCTCTCTTCCAATCCAAATGGACCTCTTTGAGTTCCATATATTCATGACGGATGATCAATACGAAAAGCCAGATATGTACTGGGCTGAAAAGTAAAAAGTATTGAGGTTTGTACTTGATGCAGCAGGAAAGAGACTTGACTGAGATAGCCATATACGCGTTGCAGCCAAGTAGGACATAAGATGTTTTCCAAAGAGCAATCTTAGTGTGGGTTTTAAGCTGCGATGTAAACCCGCCTTGGCATGTTTGTCTAATTTTCGGGATGCAGTTTATGGTTCTGGATGAATGGTTGGAGTTATGATCTATGAAAAGAGAAGTTGCAGATTTTTTTTTGCTAGAAGCTATGTCAAGTTGCTGTGATGAAAGTGTTACAGGTAAGTTTAAGAGAAATAAATAAGTTATTCGTTGTGGAATTAGAGCTGGTGGTATGGCTGTATGTGTTTTGCCCTAAGGTACTTCTTGACCCGTATTTGCGAACTTTAGTGTAATATCCGGCTGGGTCATTTATATGTAATGAATTTTCATGGATTTCCATTATTTAATAAGTAATTAGATATCATATAAAATCAAAATCCGAAATTAAGTTTTCCTAGCATTTTAGCCATTATATACGGTTCAGAAAGTATCTTAGGGCTTGAGCGCCTGACTGTCGATGTGAGTTAAGCGAGGTTTCAGGGGCCGTATGATGATGACGTAGTATACCGTACGACGAACTGCGGGAAATACAGTCTTGACACTGAAATTCTGTGATGGATGTACTGTAGACTTTATATAATCTGATGAAAGTGATCGTTAGAAAAGCAAGATATTCATATTTGGTGATAGGCAGTAAAACCTGAGGTCATACGATTTAACTTGGATTTCCAGATCTCATAAATGGCACTAATAGACTGTGTAATAGTTCAAGTACTATCATTGAAAAGTCTATACTTATTGTTAATGCTGGAATAAAAATGTTCGTGCTTGTGAATCTCAATGAAATAATAGTGGCAGTGAATTTTGGAATGTTATGTGTCACGTGCCGTCATAGCACGTGTGTTTCACTCAAGCGATGATCTCTAGGTTATGAAATGTATACGCAATACAATCTCTGTATTTAATACAGGCAATTACACAGCTTTCTGCTAGTGCCAATGGGGTGCTTTATTTTGAATAACCTCAATGTTTTATTACTATGAATTCTACAGTTTTACGCACCGGAGCCCTGTAGCCAACACACGGTTAACTTGTCACTGTTGATGCCGCAATGCTAATGGCTGCCGAACAGGGATTTCATTAAACGTACTGATAAACTTTGCACAGATCATATCATTCATCATCACCTGCGAGCATTCGAGTAGGAGAAGGGGCCGTTAAGCTGATAGCCATGGCTTCAATACAAGACCCTCTTTTCTATGTTAAGATGATCGTTTTAACTCTAGGGTAGGTAGCCTAAAACCAAAAAAGCTCTAAATCCTAGGTGCTGACAAAGAACGTTGGAATAACGTGGTTTATCAGTAACCTGAACATATCAGTAACTGGAACACTTTTACCTCAATTACCACCTTTCAACTTTAACACGCGATAAATCCATATTCAACCTTTCAAATCAATATACAAGAGTCGCAAATTAATCTAGCTATTCAAGCTATTGCTTCATCCAAAAAACTAAGTGTGCAAAGAGCTGCTAAAATCTATAATATACCGCATACTACTTTTACCTACAGAATAATCGATCGAACGCCGAAAGTTGGATCTCGATTAAAACATTATAAAATGATGGAATTAGAGGAGAAATCGCTTTTTCAATATATAATTGATATAGACGAGAGAGGGTTTAGTCCTCGAATAAATGATATGGAAGATATGGCGAATTATACACTCGAAACGCAGGGTGCGAAGAAGATTGGAAAGCTCTAGGCTCATCGCTTTGTGAAACGATATATAAAATTAAAGATATATTTTAATCGTATTTATGATTTTCAAAAAGCTCTTTGTAAAGATTTAGAATTTATTGAAAGATGATTTCAATTAGTATCGAATATACAGGCTAAATATAGTATTCTAGATTGCGATTTCTATAACTTCGATGAGATAAGCTTTATAATGAGACAAATATCACTATGTATAGTAGTTACTAAAATTTATCGATATAGAAAAAGCAAAGCTATATAATCAGGCAATCGAGAATAAATTACAACGATTATTTATATTGATAAAGAAGGTTATAATATACCTTTGTTTTTGATAGTAAAAGGCGAATATCATCTCTCAAATTGATATACCAAAGGCGATTTACTATATGATTGGTTTATTAAATCTATTACCAATGGATGGACAGATAATGAGACAGGTCTTGAATGGATTAAACACTTTAATAAATATATTAAAAGTAGGAAAGTGAGTAGATATCGAATACTAGTGCTTAATAGGTATGAAAGTTATAAATCGCCAGTATTTCAGGAATACTATAAGGAACACAATATTATATTATTTAGTTTATTATTTCATTCTTTGTATTTAATTTAATCACTCGATATCAATTGTTTTGGTCCTTTAAAACGTTCGTATAATCGACAAATCGAGAACTTTATCAAGGTATATATCACTTATATTATCAAAACTAAATTCTTTCAAATCTTCAAAGCTGCATATATCGAAGCAATATCTATATCAAATAGTAAAGCTAGATTCCGCAAAGCTAGGCTAATCTCATTTAATCCGGAAATTGTACTTTCAAAGCTAGATATTCGAATAAGAACTCTATCAAATAGATCAATATCAGCTGATCCTGATATATGGCAATCTCAAACACCTCACAATCCAACTGAAGCTCTTTCTCAATCCACTTTAGTGAAAAGTCATATTGCTCGACATCAAGGGAGTTTATCTACTTCAATATTTGAAACAGTTGTAGTTTTAGCTAAGGGTACAAAGCTCCTAGCTTATACGAATACACTTTTAATTGTTGAGATTCATAGTCTTTGTAAAGCAAATGAAGTATTTAATAAATATTGAAGAACTAGAAAAGCTTTAATATAAAAAGGAGGAGTATTTTCAATAGAAGATGGATATAGTATATTAGAATAAGAGAATATAGAAGATTAGATACAATGTAATAAATGTATAAATGATAGTTCTTTAGTAAGGAGACAAGCTATTATATAACAATGTAGCAAATGTGGTAGTACTTTACATAATATACGAACTTGTCAGTTCGATCCAGCATTAATTGATCTTTAGATTGTATATAATTCAATCCTAATTTATGGTGTTGTTATAATTTTATTTTAATGGAATGTGGGTAATTGAGGTAAAAGTGTTCCGGTCACTGATAAACCACGTTATTTATCGGACCTGTTTGATTAGGTAAGAACTGTGGGGTCCCCAGCCATTTAGGGCGCTCCCTTTCTTCTGTGGAGAAAGGAGGGGTACGGAAAAAGTCTCCGACATATATGGAGTGGAACTAGATTACGGAGTCATAAACAGGTAGACACGTATCACGCGTGGACGTGAGGATGTGTGGGCGCGTAGACACGGTAGAATTCGGAATATCTGTCGACTAGCCTTGGAACCCTTTGATCCCTTTGTGCTACAAAATAAGAAAGTAGTAGTTAGGTATGAGGTATTTGAAGCAATAGTGAAAATACATTTATCTCCTCTCCTCTCCTTGAATAGTTCTGCGAATTCATCAATCGTGAAAATATGTCGTCTTGATTAATGATTGTACGACAGACCCTCAATTTGAACATTGGCTCCAACCAATCATGAAAGTCTAAACGCGGTACGCGATGTACTCTACGCGATGAAAGAGGGAAAGTAAATTGTAACCTTTCCCCTTGTAGATATTGATACATGGGACGTATCCGAAAGCGGTCAAGATCATTTCGGCAAGTTGCTTATCCCCACTTTCTCAGCTGGCAAGGTTGGGACAATTAATTATCCGATATCCATCACCCCATTATTCTGCCCACCTTCGCTTCTTCCCGTCATTCTTATACTCCGTAGGTATGATAAGTCAGTCAGGACCTCATTCTCTATTCTACTCTCTCTATTCTTCCTTTTCTTTTCATTCAGATTCCTGTTTGTTACACTTTCATGATCATCATCTTCCATCTTTTTAATTCTTCTTACTCTTAGTCGTAGGCATACCCACCAAAAGAATGGCAGAACCTTCGAATAACCTTGACAGACACGTAAGTTTATTATTCAATTCACCTTGATTCATGCTGTTGTCTTCGAAACAAATTTCAAGCATCAAAGTACCAGCTAACACTTATTCTCACAGCATACACGTCCTAGGGGCCTGTTCGATCCCAACTTTTTACCCGTAAGATCTATTTCCCGCACACTGTCACGATCCCTTCCCGTCTCCCAGCCTTGTCTCAAGCACGTTTGGTTTCAAGTGAGGTGGAATCACAGTCACCGATCGACTACGCACTCTTCACCAAGGACATAAGCAAGACTTCTATTTGGTCAGTGGGACCTCAAAACCTGCCTACTATGTGTTAGGGGAAGCTTCTCCTAGGAAGAATTGTGTGTTTTCAGCTACCTCATCGTGTGCAAAGATGTATCTGGTGTGAAGACCAGATCTGTAATGGGTCTGGTGGTAGCTAACTCCCCGATCTGTGTAGCCTTCGGGTCGTCGGGGGGGAAGGCACTATTGGGGATTTAATGGCCCTTCGCACTAACCGTATAGCCCGAGCGGTAGATTGAGTTCCAGGATGTTTTTGCGAGATGCTGGGCCGGAAGGCTTTTTTCTTTTCAGTGTGAGGTCTTACTTAGCGTGGTACATTGCTGACTTGGGGTTCAGAGATATCAGTGGTTATCTCGTAAAGATACGCACCTGTGGAGAGCTGGTGTACACCCGGATCAGATTGTGGCTCAACAGGGACAGGAGTAAAGCACCACATTGTTATTTCTTTTTATCAATACTTTTACCATTGACCTTTGACACAGGGAGAACGATGAAGACTCAGTCCAATCATATGAAGATTTATCGGGCGAACAAACCAATTTGATGCTACAGCATGATCTTTACTGCGAGGCGATTTCTTTGAAGTATGATAGGAAAGATAAAAGCACTCGCCTTTTTTTTTCTACTCAGATCAAGCTCATCGACCACAAATTCAAGCTTGCTATGACCGGCGCACAAATCGTACGTTACCATCCACGATATCCCCATGTGTCACGAGATTGAAAATTACGATTTAGATCTTTTTTTTGTGTTTGTCTATTACTTATTTTTGTTACATAATTTCGCTGTGCTACTTTGGTCATTATTACACACCGTTGGGCCTTTTGATATTCATCTCTCTCCTTGTATGCTGGGTCGAGTATCAGCAACACCTAATTCCTCAAGCACCTGTATTATAATCACTATGTATTGGTCACTTCAAGGGAAGGTAATGTCGCTAATGAGTGTTAGTCAACAGGATTTAAGCATAATTTTATCTTTACACTCCTGTGATATTTGTTTGTCTTGTGAGATCCCTCCTCGTGAAACTAGTTAAGTGAAGTTTGAATAAATACTAATATCCATTCCCCAGAGCCCAATACTGCGTACAACATAAGGGACTAACAGCCAGTCTCCACCTTTCAGAAGTATAGGGTTATCTACTACAGTCTGAAAGGGAAGCGTTAAAAACTACATAAATATAGAAATTTATAAAAATACCACCCATCCCTATCTAAAAAGTTAATTCTGTCCCCTTACCATACTCTGCGTAGGAGAAAAAACAGGCTTGAATTGACCATACGAAATGATACATTGTTACGAGGTTTGCCGTCTAGATCACGTGGAAGTGCTCTAGGCTCTCGAGGTGGTTTATAACTAGGCATCAAGCAGGGACTCACTCAAAGTAATGACAATAATACAATTCGTAACTAATAGTAGAGTATACTAAATGATTGATTTTGAATACAAAGCTCTATACAAAGGAAATCCATTTTGATTATATAGACCTTTGTGCCTCCTTAAAAAACCGATGGCTATAAGCCCGACAAATCGATCACCGCAAAGCCGATCTCGATTTGTCGGTTTCTTGATCATGTGATCAAGAACGTGACCTATGTTACTGTCCGACGTAACAGAATGTGAGGTAGGGGACTTACACTTTATAATCTTCTATAGAACCTCACAATATCCCTCTGACTTCATCTACCCTCGCTTTCACCCACATCGTCTTCGCTTACATCCATCCTATCTATATACCTCACTCTCACTTACACTCATTTTTCATCATTTTAATCCTCGCTTAATCAATCTAATCTTTATCTACTTTAATATTCATTTTCCTATTTTAAAACAATATAATACATTATAATACTTATATAACCCACCCAGTGTTTCTTTTCCTCTTGAACTCAAGAAAGTGGTTTTCTAGTTTTCTAGTTTTATATTCTATTATACTACTTCTTAGATTATTCTTCTTTTATATATTTTGATCATCTAATCTAATAAAACAATTCAATAGATTCAAAAACTATTCCCAAGAAAGAATAAAGATAGAGATTTTCATCTGAATAATTTCATGCACACCACATCACAGCATCACAAATTAAACCATACCAAAAACGAATTTCATAATCAAAGTTCAATAAACTCTACAATTTCCACTTCTATTCTCACTCTACCGCCACCACCATCCAGGCCTTCCACCCTCACACCTCATGCATGAATACCTACGTACAAAGCCCAAATTTTCTTTAGGTCACACCATCTGAACTCAACTCAACTCATGATGACCCACTTCATCTCAATCCAAACAAAACCAACAAACCCCTCGAATAAAAATCCGTATTCCACAATCGAAGCAAGAAAACACCAATCATTCATGCTATGCTCCGTTCCCCAAATCTCAACACCAGACGCCATCAATATGCGCAAGCATTTAAGCGCGCATATCGTTATGAC